TACAATCGATTATCAAATAATTATTTTGATATGAAAACCTCAAAAAACAGGTCGTGAGTAATCAATATCCATAGAAGGCCACATTAGCGAAATTCCATGGTATTGTTTAAATTTGCATAACTCAAAATATACATAGTCAAATAAAATGTTAAATAGCAAATAACACACTCAAAAATACATATATTTGTGTGATAATATACGCAAGTTTAAGAAAAATGAGGAAGTAGGTGTAATTAAATGCTAAAGTGTACCTCAGAAAGTGTATTTTGAAATACTTGAAAGTAAAAATGCGTTAATAATAAGTACTGGCTATTGAAAATTGGTAATATTAGCTTCATGGTGTAACGGCGAGCTACTGAACTAATAATTCCATAAGTAATTATTAGGATTCGCTATATAATAGCGGAGATATTAAGGGAGGCCACAATATATATACTGACCATAATATCACCTTCTCCTCTAAGACTTGTCTAAGTTTCGGTTTCGGTTTCGTTTTCGGCCGAAATTGAATGACAACCGAATATTCGTCGAACTGTAATTATAACATAAATAAATGGAATTATGTTAAAATTGAGCTTAAAATGATGTAGATCCGTGGCGTTTCTTTAAAAAAATTTGATTAAAAAAAACAAAAGAATACAAATAAATTGTAATGCGAACTTACAACACTGAACAATTTTTTATCGCAATGCGTATTGCCGAGTCACGCTATCCTCGATTGCTTGGGAACTGCACACACAGCACGACTTCTTTTGTCCTTTGCAAGTTACAGAACTCGTTCTCCTAATCAAAACGATGTAGCTACGCTAATTTCAGCCTCATTATCTTCATTTTTACCTAATCACCTTCGGCGTGGCATAAGTAAACGGCAGCGACCGTGATCAGTCGCGTGCGTGTACGCATACGAACGTACATGCGCGCAATACACGCATATCCTCCTATCGCGAATCGTCGTGTCTAAGGCACTAGATATGTAGGTATTCTCATCCGCCATCTTGGTTCCACTTGATTGATAGGTTACAGTACGATTAGTGACAAAGGTATATGTTAAGAAGAGCCCAAATTTTGATAAAAAAAAATACTCTGAATCGATGCGTTTTCGCGTAAAAATAAAGATTTGACAAGAAAAAAGTATCACTCTGTCCTGCGAACCAAGATATTAATCTTTAAAGTGGACGACTATTCGGGTTAGAAAATCTGTCACAGCCACGGTTACCAGGTCTCTAGATTTCGACTGGAGACTCCAGTTTTCGGGACCAATCTCCAGTTCTCCAGCAGATGGGAAAAATCTCCAGTTTTTCGCGAGGGGTATTTATTAATTGCATATTTAAATTACATGGAAATTAATAACAAAGTCTGTGATTCGCAGTTTATGTTATTTTACGAATAATAAAAAAGTTTGTAATTCTGTTCGCACTGTATGTAATCTTGTAATTATTGTAATAATAATAAAAAGGTCTCTGTGATTGTGTTGACACTTTATGTCGGTCAAATATTAATGACAAAAAGAAAGTCTGTAACAGTGGTCGCAAAACACGAATTAAACCCTGCGCCTTTTTTTCTCTTTTTTTTTTAGTGAAACAATCGGCAGGTCTCCAGTCGAAATATGAAATCTCCAGCGCATGGACCTTCGGGCCCTCGCCATACAGTGCTCGGGACCTGACAACCGTGGTCACAGCAGCGGTTCACTGCGTTAAAAACACAAATTTACTGCTTTTAAAATACAAATTCACTACTTTAGTAGAGAATTTATGTTTTTAAGATATAGTGAACCACTGTTATAACTGATTTTCCAACCCGAATAGTCGTCCACTTTAAGGATTAATATCTCTGTTTGCGGAGCAGAGCGACACCTTTTTTTTATTTTTACGCGAAAATACATCGATTCAGTCTATTTTTATCAAAATTTGAGGTGAGCGGGCTCTTCTTAATTAACATTTATCTTTGTCACTAATCGTACTATACAATCAAGTAGAACCAAAATGGCGGATAGGAATACCTACATATCTAGTGCCTTACTAATACACACCAGCCGTTCGGAAATACAGTCGCGTCACATCGCGACTATTGCGAGGAGTGCAGTTGTGCACCGCGCTCTCCGCGCTCGTTGCGTTGCGCAACACGACGTCCGTCACATCCACGGACCCGCGGCGGTTGTGTATACAAAACACACGCGGGATTTTGAAAGTAGTCACGCTGGTTGAGATCGTAATCGCTGCGAATTGTTGGCGGCTGCGGTGTCGACGCCGCGCCGCAGCTAATTATCGGGCCTGCACGCGCATCGTGCGGACGCAAATGCGATGCGGCGTCGCGGCGTCGCATCGGCGAATCCCAATGAGCGCCTCGAGCGATAGCCACACCGACCGCGATCTCTCGATTAGAATATGTAGAATCCGGTGGAACGTGTTCAAGGCACATGATTCGTATAAGGCCCTACTTATTGTTTGATGCAAATTCATGTTTCAAAATGGGCCTTATAAATTATGGCCGCTACACACTGCTCCCGCTTCCTTTCAGGAACATTGATACTTATCGCCATTGAAAAATATTACGTCTTCTCCTACTACACTCAGACTCCTACTACTCTCAGACTACACTGAGTGCTCGATATGAGGAAAATATCTCCTAAGAGGACGAATATTTTTAACAGAATTTTTCCGGGGACAGTATTCTCCTGGAAGAAAAAAAATTCCGTAGAAACTTTTCTTGAGATTATTTCTGGAAATTATTCCTAAAATTATTCCCGGATGAAGAAAATCTCCCTGGAAATTGTATCTGATGTAATTTTCCACGGAAAGTATTCCATGAGAAGATGGAGAAATTTTTATACCGATGAAAAAATGCAAATAAGGAAAACGGGAAGTATTTGACTTTAACTGGATACGTGATGAACTGGATATTGTGTCGAATAATCCATTGATAAATATTTTTTTATATTTATTATCATTTACTATCATGTATAGTATATTTCTATGCTAATTTTGTTTAGTTATTTCCAGGGTTGGGTAGTAACTAGTTAAAACGTTAAAAGTAAAAAAAAGTTAAAAAATTAATAATTTTTAACTTAATTTAATTAATTTTAAATGCATTAATTTTTAATTTAATTTATTAACTTTTTTAAATTAAAAATTTTTCTATCTCTCTTAATGCTAATATTTTTTCCTATAAAATCTTAAACATTAAAGAATTAATTTAGAAAAAGTTTAATGATTTTATGATTTGAGGCTCTATGATAAAGAAAAAGAGTCATACCATACAGTAGCCAGTTTTTATTAGCTCGCTAGGTTTCGTCAATTCCCGTTTATATTTGAAACACATTAATTTTAGGTGTCATAAACATTATATTTCAGCAACATAAATATAAAATGAGATTTACAAGTAACACTACCCAAGTGCCATACTCCGATTTCCCTGAGCATACATGTAGTACATTGAAAAATATCTGACACGTATTTTTTTATATCTGCCCAAAAGCCGTTTTAAGGGTAGAAAACGTCCTTATAAATGTATAGGGGTGAATTCCAATATTTGACGTACGTTTGTTACAGAATGGGGTTACGGTGATTTTCGATTCAGCAACTTCGAAAATCACTGCGGTATACTCCATTCTGTAACAAACGTACGAGTACTTCGTCAAATACTTTTGAGCAGATATAAAAAAATATGTGTCAGATATTTTTCAATGTACTACGTGTATGCTCAGGGAAATCGGCGTATGGCACTTGGGTAGTGTTACTTGTTAGACGAAGAATTGTTGTAAAACAGTGCTGCATATCCACCTATTTTCTAAATTTTTATATATATTTTTTGTAATAAATACGTAGTCGATGTAGTCGTAAACATGCGTGAGCAGTCGTTCAGAAGTTAAAGAAAATTAGATAAAGATTAAGAAAGAGAGATAATGCAAATAAGTATATACCCTTTTCTCTCGCAAAATTTTGACAAAAGAATAATTAGACAAATCAATTTGTGTAAAAGTGTAAAAAGAAACATACACAACAACTTTTGTCTGAATCGTTTTGTTCTAAAATTTACAGGTTTTGAAATATTTGACTGACAAAGTGAGACACCTGCATAATAAGTTCCTGTGTTAGTTATTATATATTTGTGTATTGTTTAACTCTTTTATTATTAAGGATAATGATACAATAACTGGATCACTATAATAAAAATATAAATAAATAACTTGTGTTACACTACCTCACGAATTACTTACGTAAGTATATACGTAAAGCAATAGCGAAAAAGAATTACTCACTTTAGAGATTAAATACGATGGAGAGATAAATTGCTTTAGGATCGTATTACTTTCCCTTGATAATAGGAGCGGCAGATAATATTATTCATTATGAAAATGTAATTCTTCTTCTATTTATTGACGATTTTGAGGCATTACGTCGTAACGGCTCCCAAAGATTTTTAGAATTCCTTGGAATTGCACATTCTTAGTGGGGGATCTGTTCTTTCGCAATTTTAACGATGCTAAAGTCCCAACGGATCTACAGGTATACCTACTACGCGTTGCACGGAACCATATAAAACGCGAAGGGGAAAGCTCAGAAAAGATGGACGAGAAATAAATCGATATCGTGTAAAATGGAGAGAGGGGGAGGGGTGGCTGTGTATATCGGTATCGTTAATAGCTCGCGATAGACAAACCATTAATTACCGTTGTTGTCAACGCCTTTCGCAAAACGAACCGGATAGTCGAAGGGATTGTCGCGGGTATTGCTAAGCCGGCCGGTTTTTACCACCTCGGGGCTGTTGTCAGGGGCTGCAGTTGTATGTCTGCGCGCGTACATATACAGACGTGTATGTGTGCGAGATATATATGTATATCAGTCTGTCTTTCTCTCCCTTTCGGAGAGTGCACGCTACTCGTACAAACGTAACCCCTTTCGACGTGGCAGAGGGACGGTTATCGATTCTCGCAGCCTCCCTTCTCCCAGACTTCCGGATAAAAAAGTGTCGGCAGAGACACAACCGTGAAGAGCCTTTACCCTCTTTCTCTCTTTCTGATTTTCTCGCGATGGATGATATGTTTCTTCGTTTTTTTCTGTATTTTTAAAATTTCTTTTTCAAAAAATAAAATACTGCACTTTTTTAAATGATGGAAACTATGAGGGACTATACGATTCAATGCGAAGAATCGAGATATATGTTATCTGTGATTTGTAAATTCATTTTAAACTTGCAAGTTGTCGACTTATACCTGAACTAAATACTCTTCTTCTATAGGTTGTAAATAATATTTTTTTATTCTTTTATATGAAGAATAATGAAGATTTTGTGGCTATTATGTTAGGCAATATTGTGAAACAATTAAAAGCAGAGGATTTAATATTTATTCGTTTGTGAAAATTACAAAGTGCAAACAGTTAAAATGTACATTGACATTTTTCATTACAATTGCATTGCAATAATTCTTTTACTTTATCGTCGTCACTTAATGCTAATTATAGTTTATTTTATTACTTATATTTTTATCATTCCATTCTTAAAAAAAGTTGCAATGATAAGATAAATTCAGGTTAACTAAATTTTTATTTTTATATTTTACGATTATAAAAAAGACAGTGTAATAATAATTAAGAGTTATTATAGTTAACCCGTTTTATCGAAATGCGACCAGAGCGTGGAATCAGTTAAACTAAGATTAATATTAAGCAGCACCGGTGAACAGAGGTTTGCACGAGATTACGTGAAACTTCACCAGTCCTAAATAAATAAACAGCCGTCGTATTTCGCTTGTTTCTCAATGGCAACGATTTATTGCCTCGCTGCGCGCGGTCCGTTTTTAAACAATTATCTTCGCGATCCAAAAATAAATTACGCGATATCTGTCAAGGAGGCTGAGAACTTTAAAAGGAGGTTCTCGCGTTTGATGAGATATAAAACAGGTTTATAATACAACATATATGATATGAAGGTTGATTATATCTAGAAAAAATTTCGTTGAGTTTTAATGTTTTAAAGATATTTAATTCTAAATGTAATTTTACAAGTATACACAAAATCTTATGTTGTAGGCACTTTTTCTTAATTTGAAATATTTGCATATAAGGCAGAAATTTTAAAAACGTTATTAGTACAGAATAAACACTTAAGTTCATTCTAGTAAAATTTTGTCTAAATTAATCGTGCATAATTTGTGTGAGAGAAATTTATATTTTTCGATGAAGAAAAGCAAGAATATTCGTCAAATGAACGATGCGTGTATATATGGAGTTACGCGTATTATTTATATTAAACCTACTAATAGCAACTTTTAAATTTGTGTCATATAATTGCGGTGTTACATTATCTCCATTATTTGCATATTTTGCCGTAATGCACTATTTTGAGGTCAAGACATGTATATATAACCTTAAGCATAATGATCAAGCTTTATAAATTATATATCATAAATAAGCGTTTTATTTTGTTAATTTAAAATATTTAGTAACATATAAAGGAATATGTATAAAGAAATTATTGATAAGATTTTTATATTATCATTTTAATCATTTTTTTACACAATTTAAAAAATTTAAATTAATCTATTGACTAGGAAGTGGCGCGAGAACCTCTTTAAACAAGTTCCCCGATTCTCTAATCAAACAAATTTATATTTGTATCACTTCAATTTATTGCATCGTGTGTACCAGCTAAAAAGAGTGCAAGAAAAAAAACATCTATTCTTCAATGATCGAAAATGCAAGATGCTAAATGTTCGCAATAATTGAAAGTTTGACAGAAAGCATTACGTAAACGGCGACGATATAAGAAAAATCTTTTTTAGAGGCGGCTTCGGCGGACGTAGCTGGTAGCGAGACACCGAACGACGATACGATTGAGGGTTATCACACGGCGAAGTTGTCCGGCATCCCTTCGGCATCCGGTTTGACTACGTCGTCCGATAGAATGGTAGCGTCGACGCAGAGCCTGGAGGATCTGGGCGTCAACCACCCCGTCAACGCGGCAGGGAGCAACGCCGATCGTCAGCAGCATCAGCAACAACAACAGCATCTACAGGAACGTTACGGTCATGCCTACAGATCATCGGCGCAGACTGCCCAGGACAAGCGATCGCGGCTGAGCAACGTAATCAACAACCTACGCAAAAAGGTGCCAGATGGAGCAGTCAGCGGAAACTCGGATTCGCCGAGGAAGGAAGAGGACGATCGGAATAGCGTCGAGAGAAACCTGGAAACTCTGGAGAAATACGTGATGACGGTACTGAATGGCGTGATCAAGGACAACGAGGAGGAAGACAAGAACGTAGAGAAGATGAAAGAGCTGAAAAGGCAGAGGAAAAATACTGATGAAGAGGAAGAAGAAGAAGAAGAAGAAGAAGAGGAGGAGGAGGAAGAGGAAGAAGATCCGACAGATATGGCAGTCAAGTCTGAGCCTTCAAGCGAGGGTGATATCGAAGCAGCTGTTGTGCCGCAGTTAGAGGACTCCTCGACGGTCAAAAATACCGAAGACGCTGAATTCTCGGAGACTATAGACTGCTCGAATACAAAAGAAACGACAGAAGAGAGTTTACAAGATTCGGAGGAGAGAATTAGTCAAGATTCAAAGGAATCACCTTCGAGGATAGAGGAAGAAGGTCTAGACGTTGAGGAGAAAGAATCATCCGAAGATAATCGAAGCATTTCGAGGGAGAAGGAGAGTCGAACACTAAGTACGATTATAATGGATAGATTGAGTGAGCACCAGGTCGAGGAAAGAGCGAATGTTGACGACGGCAGAGGAAATGGAATGCGTGATGAACATGCGGTCTTAGAAGATACCACAATGCGAGCGATTTGCGGTGAATTGCTGGACGATCTGTTGAGCGATGTCTACTGTATTGTCGACGATCGCGAGAACCAGCAAAAGACCGAAGAATGCACGAAGTCGAAGAAGACTGACGCGACCGAATCGAAGATGGAGGAGACCAAAGATTCAAGCATCAGCGTTCAGGAGTTGTCCGTGACGGGCCTGCATTGCAGTCTACCCTTGGACAAAGTCGCGTCTGTGCTTCAAAACTGTCAGACGAGCGAATCGGTAACCTCACGACTCTCTTCAGGATCGTCCTCGAGTCCTCCATCGGCCCAAAAGTCGAAACCGTCGTCCAGTACTCCGCCGGTCAGAGTCCTCTGTCTTTACTGCGACAGGAAGTTCCTATCCATGTCCCGGCGACAGCGACATATGGAGAAAGCACATCAGCTTAGTGGTGGCAGGAGATCGGAGAGGAATCTCCGAAAATCCTCCCAAAACTGCCAGTACTGTTCCGAGAAATCTGCCGATACCCTGGAGGCGTTGTTCCAACACATGGTCGCTAGTCACGGAGATAAATACCACGCGTGCGTCCAGTGTTTGACGAGGTATCTCACCCGGGAAGCTTTGATGGGACACATAAGCGAGACGCACGGGGGAAATGCCGAGAGGATCGGTCAGGTTCAGGTAAATGTCGCGAAAAATCGATGAACGATGTGAATGCTTTCTCGTGTCTTAGAATAGAATATAAAACTTTAATGTCTTGTTCGATATTTTATTGGATATTAAAAATTATTAAATCTATGAAAATTTGTTGATCTTTCATTCTTAACTTGTTCATTAGATACTTATTACTATATTATACAGGGTGGTCCATTTGAAGCTTCGGCACTGAATATCTCGAAAACTACGCATCGGATAAAAAAAAGTGGATAATGAAAGTTGTTCGTCTCGAAGGGGGACATCCAATGATATCAAATTCGACCCTTCACCCCCACCCCGGGGGTGGGGAGGGGGGAAAATAAAAATCTTAAATGAAAACCCCTATTTTTTATTGCATATTTGGATCTGCAAAAAATTACATTGATTTGACCTACGATTGAAGTCATTTTCGTTGAAAGATGGCGCTGTAATCGTTAAAAACTAAAATGAGTACAAAACCGTATAAAAATAGGGATATCTCGAAAAACACATCATATTAAAGTCAAAGTAGACGGGTTAAATATTTTTAAAAAAGCTATCTAATGATAGCAAACTTGACCCCCTAACCCCACACTTTGGGGCAGGAGGGGGCAGTATTGAAATCTTCAATGGGAACTCCTATTCCAATTGTATCCCTCTGACGGCCCAATGAGGGACTGCTTGCCGCGCTGCTGTGAGGTACCCCGAAATGTGTTACTGCAAACTGTGGACAGCTTTCACAAAAGGTTAAACTTGTGTATCCAAGCTAATGGAGGTAATTTTGAACAGCTTCTTCGTGGTTAAATCTGAAGACTTTGTGCAATTCAGAGTATCCTTGTGAGAGGCAAGGAGACTCACGTTAAAAAAGCATCCCGATTAGTGAGAGGCAAGGAGACTCATGTTAAAAAAGCACCCCATGGGAAATGATTCTACTACTTCCTCGTCGTTGTTCCCGGGTAATGCTAAAAGTAGAATGAACGTTTTTTCTAGTTTGCAACAGAATACATTTTTTTCATAACTGATGAACACGACTTCTACATACAATAAGAGTCAATAGTACAAACTGGTAGGTGCAATTTGATTTCTCCACAGAATTCGAATTTACAATACAAGATGGTTTTAGTTTTTGACGATTACAGCGCCATCTTTCAACGAAAATGACTTCAATCGTAGGTCAAATCAATGTAATTTTTTCTGCAGATCCAAATAGGCAATAAAAAATAGGGATTTTCATTTAAGATTTTTATTTCCTCCCTCCCCACCCCCCGGGGGTGGGGGTGAAGGGTCGAGTTTGGTATCATTGGATGTCCCCCTTCGAGACGAAACTTTCATTATCCACTTTTTTTTATCCGATGCTTAGTTTTCGAGATATTCAGTGCCGAAGCTTCAAATGGACCACCCTTATATCTATATACAGGGTGTTCCAAAAGTAACGATAAATCTTTCGCCCAGGGGCAGAATAAACTAAACTGAGAAGAAAAGTCCTCTACCATTTTGCAATTTTTGCAATAGTTAACAAGATAATTGCTAAAAATTGCCGATTGATCTTCAATAATTGTTTACTCAAATAGTATCAACTTTATAGAAAAACTGCAAGAGATAAAAATTGTTTATTTTCTTCTCACAGAGCTCTAAGAATTTTTTTAGAATTTTTTCAGAATTTTTTAATACTGTATTTTCTCATGTTGGTAAAAATAAGAAAATTCAGTACTAAAAAGTTGATAAAAAATTCCGAAAAAATTTTTAGAGCTCTATGCGAAGAAAATAAACAATTTTTGTCTTTGTTGAAAATTATTGAAGACCAATTTTTGACAATTTTTAGTAATTAACATTTTGTTAACTATTGCGAAAATTGTAAAATGGTAGAGGACTTTTCTTCTCGATTTAGTCCATTCTGCCCCTGTGCGAAAGATTTATCGTTTTGGAATACTCTGTGTGTGTGTGTGTGTGTATATATATATATATATAAAAGGATGTTTTATTTTAAATGATATGCTCGATTATCTCGCGAATCGATAATTTTATTGAAAAATTTTTCGAATGAAAGTTGCATGGCTTAAAGGGGGACACATGATGGAAATGTGGACTTGACCTTGAATGACCTTATCAGGTCAACGTCATTAATGTTTTTTTAAATGAAAACTCCTATTTTTTATTACATATTCTTGTAGCTTATCTCGAGAGCTTTCCAAAACTATAATAAGTTACTTTTCGTTAAGTACTTGTTAAGTTAGGCAATACCGATCACTGATCCGGCCAACTAAGGCAAGACTGCTCACTGATCCGGTCAACTAAGACAAGACTGATCACTAATCTGGCCGATTAACAGATGAGATACATGTATAACGCCGGCAGTACTGTAACTTTGAAGTTCCATAATTCGGAAAGTACTTAACGAAAAGTAACTTTATTATAGTGTTTTGGAAAGCTCTCGAGATAACCTACAAGAATATGTAATAAAAAATAGGGGTTTTCATTAAAAAAAACATTAATGACCTTGACCTGATTTTAACAAGGTCACTCAAGGTCAAGTCCACATTTCCATCATGTGTCCCCCTTCAAGCCATGCAACTGTTGTTCGAAAAATTTTTCAATAAAATCATCGATTCTCGGGATAATCGACCATATCACTTAAAATGAAACACCTGTATATACAGGGTAGGTCATTTTAATCAATATACTCGAATATCTCGTTAGGTAAGCAAAATGTTAGCGAAAAATGTTTCAGACCAAAGTTATATGGTTTTAAGGGGGACATAAGATGGTGTCATTAGTTTGACCTTGAATAGTTACTTGAAGGTCACATGAAGGTTACCTTCAATTTCTTAAATGGAAATCCTTATTTTTCATTGCATATTCTTATAGCTTACCTCGAGAGCTTTCCAAAACACTATAATAAAATATTTTTTCATCAAGTACTTTTTTAGTTATGATGCTCGAAAGTTACAGTACCTCCGGCATTTAGCATTATTCAAGGTGTCCGACTGACAGCTAAAATCTCTTAAATATTGTTTAAGATCATGAATTAGATAACATTTGTTAAGATCAAGGCCATTGAAGGTTGTTCTTATTTTCACTTTTACCTTAAAAATTCATTTTAACGTAAAAATGAAAATAAGATGTACTTTCAATGGCCTTGATTTTGATAAATGTTCATGGTCGTAAACAACATTTAAGAGGTTTTAGCTGTCGGTCGAACATCTGGAATAATGCTAAATGCCGGAGGTACTGTAACTTTCGAGCATCATAACTAAAAAAGTACTTGATGAAAAAATATTTTGTTACAGTGTTTTGAAAAGCTCTTGAAGTAAGCTACAAGAATATCTAATGAAAAATAGGGGTTTCCATTTAAGAAATTGAAGGTGACCTTCACGTGACTTTCAAGCAACTATTCAAGGTCAAAATAATGACACCACTTTATGTCCCCCTCAAAGCCATACAACTTTGATCTGAAACATTTTTCGCTATCTTGCTTAGCTGACGAGATATTCGCGTGTATTGATTAAAATGGCCTATCCTGTACATAGAAATATATACACATATATGTATATATACTGATATTCTGCTATCGAATATCCATACTCAACTAATTCTTTTAAAAATTCTTTTGACTCTTTTCTGATTCTATATATAGTGTATTCTATTTATAATCACGATATTTTTTAGTTTTTTAATAAATCTATATCGTTAAATCTTTAATAACTTTAATATTTAATAATTTCAAAACTTTGAATGGAGGAATGTTATGTCACTATAATAGAAGCAAGAATCAAAAACAATAACAAATCCCAAGGTGAGTAATAATTCGTGGCATATATTTGATTTCTTGAAGGACGGAGATATCCAAGTAGTAAGAAGAACATAAGAATATTTTCAGAAATTGACACGTGAATACATTACTTTTACTTCCAATTCGATTCAAAAAGTTTCTATCTTGAAAATGCTATTAAGCTATTGTTAGACAAGCACGCCTTTGTTCTTTCAGCCGGAGAAAATCAAAGAAGGGTCGCCCCCTTGCAGAGACTTTTGTAGTCAAAATCTACGTGAGAAAGTGAACATGTCGTCAATTAGAGAGAGAAAATCCGAAGAATCGGAGGATCAAGATGACAATCGACGGTTGGACAGTAGCCGAACGAAACTCATTGCGACGCGAGAACTCATCGATAATCCGGCCAGTCCTGAGTTTGACAGTTCATTCTACAGCAATGTGAGTTGCAACATTCGTGAGAACCTACTACACCACTTGGACGGCAAGCTGCAAACGATAAGCGGCGCATCATCCTCGACATGCACACCACCGATTGCTACCTCAAACTCGACGGCGGCGGCGACGGAATCAAAATCGCCGCAACAACAATCGCAACAGTCATACTACGAGCACAACGTCAATCAGATCCAATTTCCCATCGATATCTCACTGACCGCGGCGACTCCGGTTTACAGCAAAGACTATTCGGCCAGCGAGGAGTACGAAAACTCGAGTGAATATGCCCGGAAAGCCGGCAAAATGAGCAGCGGCTCACGACCGCGCCGAGTCTCTTTCGAAAAGTATAATTTCCCGCGAAAGTACGATGGCAGGGAACAGTGGACGTGCTTGATCAAGGACCTCAGCAAGTTCGACATCTCCACGCAGCTGACACTCCGAAAGAAGCAGCAGCTTATTAAGGAGCGTCTCGCTGGCAACAAACTACATCAGACTCAGTTGCTATCCTGCGAGGTCACAGAAGTATCTCGTCGCGATCAGAATCAGACCGAGCCTAACATCGAAATGGCAATGAGAGATCAGGATAACGCTGATGATATCGGTTACGTGATCGATACAGGTGCCGCGACTTTCGATGTCCATTGCGATATTGGCGAACCGCTTCCAAGCGAGACTAAGAAAGAATCGATAACCGAGTCGTCCGCGACTTCGACGTCGACAATTATTACGGAATTCAGTGTTGAATTCGCAGATTTTATGAGACTGAGAAGGCGCGAGGAAAGCGATAATGAGGTCATCAATGCTCAGGAGATCATTTATGCTGAACTGAGCGGCGAATGGTCACGAATGCGGATCTACATCTGTGGCGCTTGCGGTTCCAGACATGTGAGCATATAGCTTCTACACTCATATATATTTTCTTTATAATATCATATTCTGTTAAAAACAAAAATTTAATAATGTTTATATCATTAACAAAATTAATCAATTAAAAAACAAAATCATTAACAAAATTTAAATAATAGGGCTCTCAAAATTAAAAAGTATAGGAATAAAATATACGGGCAATGAGAGCGTTAATACAGCGTGGAAGTTGGTGCGCAAATTATATAACAAAAATTCGAGTGATATTCATATAATATATTGATCTATCATGAGTGTCATCATAATGTGACATCAAAACAAAGTAATGATGATATGGAGGACGAGACTGCAGAAAAAAGTTAGTTCACAGTTCCCTATCTTCTTTTAATTTCAGAGACATTCAAGAACATAACGAAAGATCTGAATACTAATCTTTGTTATGGTAGCCTTAACAAAATGAATAGGACCATTAAAGTCCATAAAGATAGACTCCCTTCAAGTTCTAACAAGAATGTCATATATAAAATACAATGTCGAGACTGTGATACAACCTATGTTGGACAAACGACACGGGTCGTTTATTGAAAACGAGAATAAAGGAGCACAAAAATCTCATTAATAGAAAAATTTTTTGTGAATCAGTCATCACACAGCATAGGTTGGAATTCAGTCATGAATTGGAATTTAGGATAATGTTAAAATCTTAGACATAGAAAGACAATTGAGTAAAAGGCTCATCTCTGAAATGCTGAATATTAAATTGCAAACCAATAGTTTGAATCTCCAATCAGACATAGAGTTTTTGCACCACTCGTATGTGAGCATTCTAGAGATTAAAATAGCGACTTTGTGTATTCGCCTTTAGTCGGTTTTTGTTGTGTTTTTAAGATTGATATTATAATAGTCTGACTTATAATTATTTGTTGTTCTATGCGGACGTTGGCTCTTAGAATAAAAATGTGACACTTATTACTTGTCTGACTTTCATCTGGATAACACATTTAACATTTTTTATTCTTTTATATTTTATACTCTTTACAAATACCTTTGATTCTTTTGCATTCTTCTTTTTATAAATTAACGCGTTACGCTTGAAATAATCGATTGTAATCTATGAGGAGGGTGAGTAGAATAAGCACACTTATAATTTAATAACAACGCAATTAATTTGCTTTGTTCATTGTACTCTCCAGTTAGTCATTTGGCTTAACAGCGAAGAGACAATTTTTGGCAACTCCCATCCATACAGTAGGGATATGCTCATCCTCGGTTTCACGTAGAATATCTTTCCAACATATGCGGACTATATTTTGTCAAGATATCGACGAAAATTACCTTTTCAACATTTGCGGACTATATGTTATTAGGACATCGACGAAAATTATTCACAACTTGCTGAAGATGGTTTAAAGAAAAATCGAAACGTCCAAGAAAATTGTATCTACATTCATGGTAGATCAATATATTATGTGAAGATCACTCGAATTTTTGTTATATAATTTGCGCATCAATTTCCGCGCTGTATTAACGCTCTCATTGCCCGGATACTTTATTCTTGTATTTTTTTAATCAATTAAATTGTTGATAATTGCAATAATTTAAATCTTAACATTTATTTTTTCGAAAAACATGATTGTTTCTTATCCATTTCTTATCCTCTCAGTGTTTTATTTCTTGCAATAATCTCAAAATATCAGCATTAGGTTATACTTGGCTGGTACTTATCCGTTACAATATTATCAAAGGAGCAGATATGGTAATATGGCTCTATGATTGATTTATGTCATCTTAAGACATTACCTAAAATAATCTTAGATATACAAACCGACTATAAATACCGAAGATCTTTATTACGAAAAGTTTATAGTTCTTTTATAGAGTGATTTAATAAATATAAGATTTTTATTTCAATATCTTAAGCGAATAAGCAGGACATTTTATTGTATAATTTTGATATTTCAAGTTTATTAATTGAATTTAATGTAGAATTTTTTTATTTTACAAGAAAATATCAAAATTTTCAAATATCTAACGACTGCAGATGAAAAAAACTGTGAATTATAAAAAATACGCAGCAAATTTTTATATATGATTTTAAATATTACTGTCGTGTTGCAAATGATGTATTTTCATTAGTATGAACGCGGTCTAGATAATTTATCAAGCAATGTACTTGATCTTTGACATTCGTGCGATACACATACGGACGGGATGGTAAGCGTTCGCAGTGAGTCTTCTAAATCACGGATTCACTCATGCAACTTTGTCTCTACGATGGTCTATTCTTTTCCATATACAAAACGAATAATTTATATCTAATGAAATATCTGTAATGTTGAATCAGAATAAAACTTTTTCTTATTACCATCTTAGTAGTAACATAAAAATAGCTGATTCATCTATGTGGTTTTATCGAGGGAAATACCGGAGAAATTCGTATAATACCTACATCTTCTTAGTTGTTAGCGCGTTAATCGGATTTACAATAATTGAAATATTACGTATAAATATTCGATATCGATTGAGAGACGAAACACCAAGCGGAGATGCGACTTGAACCGTCGATATTTTTGTGCAGGTAACACTTAAGGAGATGGAGGATCACAAAGCTTCCACGCATCCACGTGTTCTGTGCTCGCACTTCGACTTGGCCGGCGATCAACGCGAGCACTACAAGCACCTGTATCTACCGGGACGAGATACGCCTCCCGATGCTGCACGTAACACCTCTCTCGAAGAGATGGTATGCACCAAATGTGCTAAGAATTGCCCGAACGTGGGTGAGTTGCATCGCCACATGTTGGAGTGTGGAGGCGATCAGGCCTGGTTGCTCGGCCTCACCGGTAGTGGCAAGAAAAAGTGCAAGTGGCGGCCGTTCGGTATGAAGAGAAACATACAGAACTCACAGACGCAGCCGCAACCGCGGGTTGTCAACGCGGAGCGACCCAAAGAGAAACAACCACCGACCGGTCCTAGAGTTCGCCCGAGTGACCGTAAGAATGAAATTCGCTTTTAGAGCTAAAATGCTTCACGTGAAGTCAACCCAGCTTTTCTATATCGTTCCTTATTTTGCGTAACTTTATGTAACAGGTTCACGAATAAACAAATGAAGTACAGGAAACGGATCAAAGATATAAAAAGAAGTGTATATATGTATATATATTTATATCTAAATTGACAAACAGATGATGTATTTTTTATGGAGTAGATTCTCTTCTAATATAGAGAGACATAACCTTTTTACATAATTACATGAATTATAAATTAAAAAGTATCGACGCATAATATGTATGTAATATATATATTCTTCGCCTACGGTCTTTAAATCTCATTGCTCAGAAGAAGAACTTACTATAAATAAACTTATTACAATTTACTAAGATTGCCTTAAAACAAACAATATATATTTGATAATACACAATATATATTTGATTATCTTAGATATTAAGCGAAAATTATGAGCTGTTGCAATATATACATAGCTTCGACCGATCGCTCGAATATGTTTTCAGGCGAAAGTATTCAGAAAATGCTAGCCAATCTGCCGGCTAAAAGAGCCACGAGGAAGGTTCTGCAGGACAGCATGATGCGATCGCAGGGCCGACTTCGTAACGTAAGTAATTTAATAGCGCAGAACAATGTCTATCTTCACCTCAATATATACTCAATCAAAATGGATCGATATTAGAATCATAAAGGCGATTATAATAGCCGACTAATTTAAGGATGTTGACAGCGTAATATCTAACGTTAATGGGCTCTTCTATATAAAGATTTTGTAATAATACAATTGGATTATTCTTCCGATGAAACTATTTCAGTGAAAATCACGTCAGAATATGAAAGTCACATCACACAATACCAAAATTGTTCAATGGAAAGCTGCTTGAAACATCTTTCTTGATCTATCGTTAAGAATTAGTTTCACAATTACATTTCAATTTTTATTATTCGAGAAAATCATACAATTCCTTATAATTTCCTACTGGCAAAAAAAATCAGTATAAATGAGGCATAATAAATGAGACCGATTGAAATCGTAGGTACAGTTTAATGTAATTTTGTGTATTATGAAGAAAAATTGCATGAGTAATGCAAACATTCTATCATCGGCAACCTGAGCAATGCAAATATACTAAATAATTACAAAAAATTTTAGACTCGTTAAAATAATGATAGAACGTTATTGCCTTGCGCGCCTCGTCACACACGAGCGGAGGCATCGATTAGTTGACATACACGCTTATCGAAGTACATTCCTATGATCATGCACACAGTCGCGCAAGCAAAGCGATTTTTACACTATACATCGTATTCATTTTATTTTTCTTTCAATAAAAATACTGCTTTTCTTGCTTTGACACTTTTTGTACTTTTACTTTATATTTCTACCTTTATAGAAAGGTAAATTATAAATAAAAACATAAGATGAAAATATTATTAGCTTTTTAAAGATAAAAGCTTTAAATTTTGTTTCAATGATAATGAAACTGAATTTATCAGTACAAAAACTGTAGTGTCATCTTTGGGCTTTGTTGAAACAGGTGCAGACCAGAACAAGGCCTTGCATAATCGGCGACAACTCGTCCCGAATTTCACGTAACAAAGCCGCTCTGCGGAATAAATTGCTGAAGAACGCCAAGTCGATTCAACGGAATCGCTGTCGAAGTGACAACATCGCCGCGGTAATCGAGAGTGTCGTGAGGAAGTGTCATGAGACTGAGAAGAAATCGGATAGCGATGTCGACAAAACTGCCGAAACTGAGAACGAGGATAAGAAAGATGCCAAAGAGATGAACGAAGGTTCGTCGAAGGCAACCAGCAAGGCTTTGGATCAGAATGATAGAACTGTTCGACCGAGAGTCGTTGGACGACCGAAGATTCTCGGCAAGAAGAGGAATGTGAAAAACCCACAACTTCAAAGCAAAAGTAGCAACAAGCTAGTGAAAGCAATGGGTAGGTTTGCGAAGTTTAAGAATGATACTACATCCGAGACGAAGGACGAAGGCGAGGAGACATCCTCCCCAAAGAGTATACCAAAGAACGCAAAGACGACGCTGAAAGCGATTGACAAAGATGACGTCAATGCCGATAGCAAAAAGATATCAACGATTTCTGGAGTAAAAAATAAAAACAAATTGACGCAAAACATACTGAAGAGAAAGCGTCCTGTGGATCCAGTGGCATCCTTGAATGCTTCCATCAAGGCAAAATCACAGTTACGAACGCAAGATGGTAAGTTCGCTCGCAATCCAAACAAGAATTTGCCAGCGAAATCGTCTGAAGAGAAAATAGACAATGGAAAATACAAGACTAACTGGATCGAAATTAAGCCCAAGTTGAAAGCGGCGCAGAAGTTGAAAAAGATTGGGGTCCAGTTGCCACGAAGAATTACTCGGCTATCGTCAGATAGCGACAAGATGCCGACTTTGGAACCAGTCGTACAGATCGTTTCCTCCAACGAGGAATATGCCGATAAGTCGGCGAACGATTTACCTATCTTGTCGCCAGTAACGTCGTCGGGTTCTCTTCAGGATCAAAAGGCATCTCGAATTTCCATAAAGTGCATTTTAAAGGAAAAAGAGGAAAATGTTGAGGCTAATGCCGATCTCGAGACTATCCCTGAAAAAAGAAAAAGGGGGCAGAAATCAACGAGAGGAAGAAAGCCAAAGGAAGAAATGAAAGACATGACGAAGCGGAAGAAGACTAATACAGTTGAAGAAAACAATACTTCCAAAAATAACGTAGTAGTGTTAAAAGATGATAGAACGAAAGGCAGGAAGAGTTTACCGGTTTTAAATGCTAATAACGGTGAAAATAGCAAGGAAGAAACATCGAAGAAAGAGGCAATTGCCAAAAAAGATTCTAAACCTAAAAAGGAAGAAGCGATGAAGGAAACTCGAAGCAACTCGAAAACCAGAGTAAATAAGGATTTCGTGAAACTGACAGACATCCCATTCGAGGTGAAGAAACTATTGTATTCGGCTCAATGTATCCTCGACAAGGATGATCTCTTGAGCACATTAGAGCTCGCATCTAACGACTCGAAACGCAACCTGAGGCAATTGGCACCAAGATCGAAAGTGCTTCAAGTGAGTGATAAGAAACCGCGAGAACTCGATGACGAATCAGACGGCTCGAAAGATACGAGTAAGAAAGAGAAAATTGAAGTGATTAAAAAATCATCCAGAAAAAACATTGAGAAGAAGGGTGACGATAAGATAGCAAAAATGAGTCTAGAGAAGGATTCGACTAGCAACGCGATTGCCAATGTAGCGCAAAATGAAAGAAATCAACAAGGTAAAAGAGACAGAGCAGTGAAAACAAAGGAAATTAATATTGATAATCCCGATATGAAAAGTAAAATTGACGGCAGACAAACGAGAGGATCAGTGAGCGACGTCAAGAGCGAGCCTTTCTTAGAAATTGCAAATGATAGCCTTCGAAAAGGCAGATCTTTGCTGGGGAAACGTCGTAGTCGTAACAGATCGCTCGACAAAGATGAAGAAACTAACTTGCGTACATCCAAAGCACAGAGTAGCAGTGAAAATGCCTCGTCGAGCGGAAAGGAAACTGAGAAAGAGCTTGGGGAAGTTATCGATAAAATTTCTAAGAAGGAAATTGAAGGTGAGAGTGATAAAAACTCCGATGATCGCTTAGATTCGACAGTAGTGAATATCAATTTAAGTCACTTACAATCGGAGACGAGTAACTTGTCCATTGACAGTGGTAAGGAAAACTCTTTGGAAACATCTGTGAACGTTCACAGTAAATTAAAGGTAGGGAGACCCAAGAAGTCGTGGGGCGCGCGTCGCGAGAAATCGTTGAGAAAGAGATCCTTAAACAATGTCATTGGTATTCTGACGGAGGGCATGAATATCCCTATGGAGGCGCAGCAGAACGTGCAAGTGCTCACGGTTCAGACTAGCTTGGACAATCCGGATAGGCTGGCGCGAAACGGAAGCGCCCAACAACCAAGCGGTGGCGAGGGCAACGTGAAATCCGCGGAGAACGAAGCTGTTACGGCGACGAGTACGACCGATAACTCTCATGTAGACGATGAGAAGAATGCTTGTTCTGATGAAGCGCAACTTGAGAACGTCTTCGCCGATGGAAAAGTCGACGTATCGGTGAAAGTTACAACTGTTAAGGCGTGTTCGCCAGCCAACGACATTATCCTCGATCTATCTAGAAGAAAACCCAAGGGTAAAGGCTCTTTCTTAGAGAAAATTGTGTCGAAGATAGCCAAGCAGAAAGACGCTTTGCTAGAAGGTGAGGTAGGTTCTTTGCTTGACACTGCGGCCGATGAGTTGACTAGCATTCTCGATGAGGTCGGACCCACCTTGATTGATAACACGGAGAATACAAATTCCGACGAGGCAAACCATGCCTCAAAGAACGATAAAAGTATGACAGTTACATCCACTGATAAAGAATTGCCGGTAATTGTCGAACCTGAAATACAAGCATTGGAAAACGAGAAAACCAATGTTGAGAGCGCGATTTCCAAATGTTCAACGGATTCTTTGGAGATGTCAGACGATCTCGAAGAAAACTTGGCAACAAAAACTGAAATTCAAAGTGAGAATCAAATTAAAGCGGATAATGTTTCAGACGTTGAGATGAAGAATGACGATGACTTGCACAGAAAAGTGAGTTCTGTTGAAGAAAATGTTGAATCTTGCGAAAATAAATCGATGATAAATAAAGAACCAGTTATTCCGATAAAAATTTCAAATGATCCTGTATCATTAACCGATATTTCAATTTCTGGTTCGTTAATTATGACACAAAAAGAAAATTTAGAAAAACCTGAAAGAAAGAAAGGCGTTACGAAATCCAGGAGAAAATCCAATAAAAGATCACTGGACGCAAGATCTAAGAAAAATAAGAAAAGATCACTAGAAATCGTTGAAGATCGCACAGAAGAAAATGCACAGAAGAAACTTGGAATGAATGACACGTTTAAGGCCGATATTGGAAATGAGTTTTCAAAGAAAGACGATAGTGTGGAGACTTCAAACGGAGATATCGAAGTCAGAAAGTCGGAGCTGCTTCAACACAATGAAAGCGAAATTATCAAGGACGATTTAAAGCCAACAAATTTAGAAAAGAATCTAACGAAAGCTGATAATGAATTAAATCTAGAAAAATTCACCGATTTTTCAGAAATCACTTGTGAAAATGCGAAATTAATAGCGAGCCTTGAAAAATCCCTTGACAAAATAACTTCCGACGAAGATACTGTTACCAATGACCGGTCGATAGAATCAATCGAGAAAAGCACTGATTTTTCGATATTATCTTCAGAAAAAAGTGTTGAGTGTAAAAAATCTGTAAGTAGAAATAAAAAAAAGAATCAAGTTAATTCGAACGGATCTTCATCTAGGCGTAAATCGAAGAGAAAATCGAAATCTGTCTTATCAATAACTCCTTCGATGTACGCTACTATAAACATCCTCCAAACTTCTGTAGACTCTATGGATGAAACAGAGGAGATACCATCTTCGTCGTCCATTGCGAGAGAATCTTTAGAATCAACTAATATACAATCGATAAAAATTGGGACCACTAGCGATTCAGACGTTCCTTTGGAAAATTTCTTGCATTCAGTAGAAATAGTGCCTGAGAAACCTAAAGAGACACAAAATACAGACTTAAAAAATTCAAGTCTTGTTAATTCGATACCTTCAAAAACAACGGAGAAACATGGTGCGAAAAAGAAGTCATTGGCTGAGGAGCATCTGAAACTACCGGAAGACAAGTCTGCTAAAGTTGTTTTGAAACTCACTGATGAATTCAGCATCGCAGATACTAACGAGCGATTATCTGTTAGTTTAGAGCATTTCAAAATACCGGAAGTGAAGGATCTACCGCAGAGTGCGAAGAAACGAGGCCTGAAGAAGAAGTCGCAGCCCGAGGACGATCGCTGGAACAGCGGAAGCGTTTCCGAAGCATCTCGGACGAATGAGAAACCCACAGAGATCGACGAGATATCTAACTCGATCGAAGAGAAAGTCGAGGAACAAAAAGAAATAGAGAAACGTGTTACTGAAGAACAATCGAGTACGAAGAAGCTCGGAAGATCGAGTTCTTCAGGGTCAATAGGTCTCGCTCCATCTCTACCCAAGACAAGATCTATGTTCAAGAGAAAAACACAGCTGTCAAACGAAGACCTTGCTGATTCCAGCATTCGAAATCAGAGTGCCGAAAGCATGGACGACTTGTCCGAGAGCTCGTGCGTCAGCGAGTCCAGTTACTTTAGGAAGAAGCGATTCGCGAAGAAAAAAAGGAAAGAGGAGACGGTAGTTGACAGCACCCGAACCGATGCTTCTCTGACAGATTCGATAATCCTGAAGAGTAGTAAGCAAAATCTGAAAAGGAAAACGAGTAAGACCAAATCATTGCTCGATGAGCACCTTGATTTGTCTGACGTGGATGACATTGACATTCCAATGGACATCCAAGCTTCATTAGAAAATATAGAAGCCTTGGAAAAGATTGAACGAGAATTTGAATTCACTGAAAAATCTTTGGATCCACAAAACGAAGACACAGACAAACCAACGGATGATACAGAGAACAAAGATTCGCACGCCACTTTAGAACGACCAGCATCTAATAATCATGATTCTTCGGATAATCCGGTTACCCCGAAGAAACGCGCGGCTGGCAACTTTGTGGTAGTGCACACAAAAACCGGTGAGATCTTGATCGTGGAGAAGAGGAAGAAGCTAACGAAGGAGGCGGCGAGGTTTTTCTGCGACGTATGCGCTACAAGCTTCACTCGCAAGAGCTCTCTAAAGAAACATACGTTGTCACAGTCGCATTTATCACAGTTGACAAAATCCACCAAAGACAAAATCGAGTCTGTTAACAGCAACACGTTCGAGAATATTGAAGAAGATGACAACGAATGGAAGAATAATCAAGAGAATGATCAACAGACGAAGAATATTCCAGAAGACGCTCGATCTCATGAAACCGATCGGAAGTCTTTGGAGCTAGACGAGAGCTTCGTTCCTTACGCAAATAGCACAGAATTAACGAAATCTCTTGTGGATCTCGGAACAAGGCAGATGTTGGAAGATAAACTGCTGGACGAAGAGATTTGCAAGATTACCGAGAACATGAGCCATGACGAATACGTTTTAACTGATCAAGTGACACCGGAAGATCCGATGTTATCATCAATGCCGATCAAAGCCATCCAAAAAAAACAGGAAGATTCAAGACAAGGCAAGAACAGTGACAAGAAGCGGAACAAGTCGAAGAAAAGGAATCTGGCGGAAGAACATTTACTCTTGGATTCTCCTAAATTAGAAAATTCTAAAATTGACTCGGACGAGCTTCCGAAACCAACCAACGATGTCATGCGAGTTTCCTCGCCATCTTGTGACCATTCTTCGACGGAGCAAATAATGGAAACGATAGAAAAGATCGGAGATATTTCTAAAGAATGTGTAGATAACGTTAAAACGAAGAATCGATCAGAATTAACTGTTAAATCTTTGAATGAAGAAACAACTTTGAGATCAATATGTGATATTGATGGGAAAACTGACCAGCAAACAGAATCCACAAGGACTACGAAGAAAACGCTAAGAAAAGTCTCTAAAGTTTATAACGAGGAAAAAGAAGAGACCTCAGCTTTAACTGAGACAAATCGTTTCAGTCTAAGACCCAGAAGAAGTAAAAACATTCAGCATTATGAGGAGTCTGATATTGAAGCTGATATATATTTTATGGATACTTCCATGGAGATTAACAGTGATGAGATAGAAGATAGCCGTGATGCGCAAAAGAGACAGAACGAAGTAAAAGAAGGAACCAACAGGGATGTCCTACAGGAAAATGTATATGTTGCCACTGATGATAAGAGACCCCAGGATGTAGAAGTCGCAAAATCGAAGACAGACTCAACGAACAGAACTAAAAAAAAGAAACGTGGAAGACCGAGACTTAAAGACCGAATTATTTCGAATTTCAATAACACTTCAGCTCCCGCGAACCTCGAAGTTAACGGAAATGATTCTGTCGCTACGAGCAATCTTAATGAATCAAAAATCGAGGATCAAAAATTAAATTTGCATACCAAAGAGCGTCTTGACAAAACCGACAAGCCGCCACATATTGATGCAAATGCCCAACCTCCTAAACGAAGTCGGGGCAGGCCTAGAAAAAATCCTGTATCCATTACAAATAATTCTTCAGTACAAGCAGATAATTCGAGTGCTTCCGAATCAACGAAATCAAATTACGATGAAGTGAAAGAAAAGGCAGACGTGATTAAATCATGTTCCAAAATGATTATCGAAGAAACCACATCGATCAGTTCTTTGATACCAAATGCGGAGTCTTCACCTGCCATTCAAGAGCATACTTTAGAATCAAATTTATCTGAAACGAAGAAAGATTTATTAAATACTGAAGATGTTCAAAGCACCGAGCTAAACATTTCCAAAGATCGATCGGCGCAGAGAATAGAACCTACGAGTATTGCAATAGACGACACCGTATTCGCAAGGAATTGCGAGAATATGCTTACCTCTAACATTCCATCAGAAAAAGTCGAAATATTGATGCCATTAGAAACAAACACATATGTTGACGATGCAAAATGTGTGCTAGAAGACAAACAAAATGATACAAATGTGAATGTTGTAGCACATCTAACGACCGAATCATCAGCCGAGCTTTCCTTACAAATTACCGAACAGATGTCGATTGATGATTTGAAATCAGCTGAATCAAAAGCAATCGAATTCGACAACAATGAAAGCTTCGAAATTCCAAAATCAACAGACATTTTAGAAGAGAAACAAACAAAGTCAAGAGAGGAAGTTCCCAATGCAAGAGTTTTATCGTTAGAAGATGAGGATAAAGCGTCAGCCGAAGACAATAAATCTCTTCTCATCACAAATTTCCACGAATCTCAAAAGGTAATAAATGATTCAGGGAATGATAGCACTTGTGATGAAAGGACGATTCGACTGGAATCCACTAAGAAATTATCCAGAAAGTCGACGAGTAAGGAACGAGAAACTGATCGCAAAAGATTGAAAACATCCAAGGATAAAAAGAAAAAAATCAAAGTCGCCGAACTGTCGAGTGACAGCGACAACGAGGATGACAGACTCGAATCTGCTGCTTCGAGTAAGAGTAAAATTGTAAAGAGTGTGTTCGGCCGAGTGTTTGGTGGTGAGAAAGCGGACAAGGTGAAGGAAGTATTGAACGATTGGGTATCACGGTCAGAAGACGACTCGGATATATCTAGAAGTGCTTTGGATGCGAGATCCTATCTGCGTGGACTAACAAAGTTCTCCGAGAATGGACACAAGAAAGAAAAGAAGTGCTACTTCGGTTCTGAAACAAAGAAGAATACTGAGCGACTACCCAAAAAGAAAGGAAACGAAAAGTGCAGCAGTGAGGTTCACGGGAAAGCGAAGAATCGAAAGAAGCGAGAGAAGGATACCGAATTGATATCTGAAGATCGTATGGGATTACCTATCAATCCGGCCAAGCGAAGATATAGAGAGAGCAAGATTAGAGCGGACGAAAAGATTCTAAGAGCTTTTGATGATGAGTTACTGACGATTTCGGACGAAGAGAACAAGATTAAGGAAATGAGCGATCAGATTAATAATGAATTGAACAATAAAGATAAGGAAACAAGTAGACACCATGAAAAAGACTCGAATAAGGAGCGAACGAAGAATAAGAATTTGACTTCTGAGAATTGGGAGAGTCTTCGAGTCGAACACGCTCATGGAAAATCGAAAAATAGTTCCAATCATCGTAAGAAACAGGATGCTAAGGAGCGTTCTTCATCACCATCGCAGTCCGAGTCCGAATACAAATGGAGGGAGAGCAAGACCAAAGCCGGCGAGAGGATCTGGAGAGCCTTCGACAACGAGATTTCATCGTGCCTTTCCAACGATCAGGATCTTAACGAATTTCATGAAATTTCTAAGGAGCAGCAGATCGAGTTCTACGAACTTGAAGACCTGAATCGTTCAGATAATTCGAAGAGTGTCAAACAAAAAGATGACGATGCTTGGAAAAACGTCAGTTCGATAGATCACGAACAGAGTGTAGTGCACAGTGGTTGCGGGAGGTCCAGAAAAAACTCGAACAGTCGCAAGAAACAAGATTTCAGTCTGATTAAAATAAATAAGACAAAAACGAACAAAAGGATTTCGAAGGATTACGAGTCATCAATTTCTTCGAGAGATCGAGAAACGAAAAGCGAAATGCAAAATGTTCAAACGATACTATCGAAAAATGAATCAAGGAATCGATCGAAAACTTTGATTAAAGATAGCTCTTATGAGTTCTTCTATGGCGATTCAGTTGTTTCGAAACATATGAATAAAGACCAAGATAATTTGCTGACACATTTGGATCGGTCAACAAGTTCTAGGAAAAACAAAAAAAGGATTGTTAATGAAGATTGGAAACATTCAGCGAGAAACCTAAAATTTGATCTGGACGATGATCAGCCGACTGAGAAAGAAATTGGACAAAAGGAAGAGGAATCTACAATAGCATCGTGTAGTTGCAGCAGTTTAGCAGCCGAAGAACCAATAATGAAGAATCAATTGGTCGATCTCGATGGAAGTTCTCAAATGAATCGAAAGTCTGATGACAATGATAACGACAACGAGGAGGATGACGACAGCGATTTCGAGCGACGAAGAATGTCACCATTCTACGCTCGCGAGACTCCTGATAACTCCATAGAAAGCAGCTCCGAGGAAGAGGAGGAGGAGGAAGAAGATGACGAAGAAGAGGAAGAAGAAGAGGAACGCGTAACGTACGAGGATAATTCCAGAAAAACAAATCCTAGCGAATTTTCTGGAGAGAAGATCATAATCAGGTCGCCGTCTTCGGGTCACAGATCGGATGTGGTAACGATTGCACCCACAGATGCGATGGAGGACAATGCTTTAGACGTACCGAGAGAGATCGAGTCAACAACGGAACCGCGGCAAGGTAAAATCCTTAATTTCGATGAGGAGCTCTTCGTAGAATGTTGCTCGAGATTGAAAGCTACGAGCGAGAACGAGTTGAGAGGTGCGAAGAAGATTAAACTCGACCACACCGAATCATATCATAGACGAGATGATCAATCGCAAGGATTCAGAGTCAATAGAGATCGATGGAGAGACGTGGAGAGTCAAAACAGTCTCGGTAGTCTTCTGGAGTCGGTGAATCAAGTGAGTATTATATATTAGACATTTTTCTGCTTGAATAATTTATTAATATACAGGATATTTCCTCTTGATCATCTAAAATCTCTGTTGTTTTTAATGATACGAGAAAATACCAAAAGAGAAAGTTGTTCGATTCGAAGGAGCACATATTATGAAGAGCAAAAATTTTTCAAGATATATTTTTTTGAAACTTCAAGGTCACCTCCACTTTTTTAAATGGAATTGTATGATTTCTTTTACACAGTGTGATTCCTCTAATTATTCTGAATATAAAAGTATTAATCAAGTGATATAAAAAAACTAATAGCTCACGAAATATTTTATACCTTGTGGCATATATTGATATAAAATGTTAAATAATTCATTAACTATTAATTTTTTGATAATCGCATCTTAATACTTTTATGAACAGAATAATGAGATGAATCAATTGGTGGAAAGAAAACACATAGTTGCTTATTTAAAAAATTATCCATTTTGCATACATATTTTTTTAAAGCAACTATGTATTTTCTTTCCACCAATTGATTCATCTCATTATTCTGTTCATAAAAGTATTAAGGTACAATTATAAAAAAATTAATAGTTTACGAGTTATTTAATACTTTACGCCAATATGTGCCAGAATTATAAGGTAGGTATAAAATATCTCGTAAACTATTGGTTTTTTTATGTCACTACCTTAATACTTTTATATTCAGAATAATTAGAGGAATCATATTGTATAAAACAATCATACAATTCCATTTTAAAAAGTGGAGGTGACTTGAAGTCTCAAAAAATATGAGAAAAATGACCTTGAGAAAAATTTTTTGCTTATTATAATATGTGCCCCTTCGAATCGAACAACTTTCTCTTTTGGTATTTTCTGGTATCATTAAAAACAACGGAGATATTTTAGATGATCAAGTTAGAGGAAACACCTTGTATAATTAATAAATCGTTAATGAGTTAGTTATTCTGTATACAAGACAAATGTAGTGTTTTTTATTTAATTCATTTAGTGATGTGTGAATTAAATAAATATAAATTTTTTAATGATAAAAAAAAATTAATCAACGATAAATTATGTAAAATTATGATTATATATTTATTTAATAGATTAAGTGAAATCTTTTGTTATTAAATTGACTTGATTAATTGGTGAAACACACCATTAATTTTAAGTTTTGAGTAAATAGAGTTATAAATTTTAAATACGCGCGCGCTTTGTATACGATTTACTAAAAATAATAATATATTATAAATATATATTCTATTATATATAAGTCATTTAGTCTTTTATACTGGTCTTTTAAGAATTAAAAACACAATTATAAAGAAAAGTAAACACGATGTAAGATATATGTTGCTTGGAAATTCTAGTTGCTCGGCGAAGAGATGTACAACAGCCATGACAAAAGTTATCGAACGCGCGGTAGCGAACGATCAAGTAGATCGGCCAGTCCAGATGCGTCGCGAATCGACAATCTTGGCTACGAGGATAGTTTGGACGTAGCTTTTGAGCACAATAACAAACTACGAGATAAGATCCAACAGCGCATGAGAGAGAGCGAGAATCTGATAGCCAGCACGTTCGGCCTGAAGATCAACGACAACGATCATCCCGATGATGACAAGCGAGACAGCGTTGGGAATTCTTATTCCTCGAGTATTCACGAACACGAGCAACTACCTACGTCGGTCGCGTCGAATAGAGAGCTGGAGTCCTCACCGGGTCACAAAAACAAGATGAATTCGACTCTAGGTGGTTTACACAAGGCACTATCCAACTTGTTGCACAGCAACGGCAAGCATGATCATAAGTGAGTATCTCGATACTCAAATCTATGCGTAATATTTATATTGTAAATATTTTTGTTGTATGTGATCGTATAGTGAATAATTTTGAGAAAACAAATTAATATTCTATTAACGTAATAGAAGTATATTACAATAATGAACTTTTCAGTTGGATGTGGATAAGTTTGATAAGTTTAATGAGGTTTCGAACTCAAGGAAGACGAAGGTTCTCCAAATTCATAAGTACTTCATGAAAATAAATTAACAAAATTTTCTTAGCCAGCTGTCGTTTGTAAACTTAGTCATATCGAATTCTTGTTTCTTTGCTAAGTACAATTTTGATTTGTTTTCTTAACATGTTCACAAAAGACTTTATAAAAGTGCATTATCCTATTTTTATGATGCTATATACAGATGTTAATATTTTAATATGTTTCTCTAAAATTCCGTCTTGATGTAAACGTCGAACTTCGATGATTAAAAATATTTTGCAGGATGGTTCACGTCAAAGCGTATTTTTCAGTTTCGCGTCGGTTCGACACCTGTTGATTGCTCGTTTATCTGCTTGCGTGGTTCATACGTTTTGTTTTCATCCGATTCTTTGATTACGCTAAACTACATGTAGCGTATGATTGGCGCATACCGGTCAGTCATTTTTTTCCCTGAAAAAATAATCTTTGTGACTCATGATTGTTGCATCGGGTGATTGTCTCTCCAAGGACAAAAATCGAGCTTTATCGTGCAATATTCTGTAAACTATACCGCACAATATCTGGCGAACGTTATACCCTCTGTCTTCTTCACTTGGGCTGAAATTATTCGAGCTTGATGCTCGATTTTCACTAAAGATGGTCGAGAGACCATCGTCGAACGATGCCCATTCGTTCGCGTTGCGTATTGATCCGCTTTCGTCACTCCACCCTGTACGATGAACGATCTCTCCCTTAACAACACCAACATATAGCGCCTTGCGATACATTGAATTTAGTATATAACACGTAGAGCACAGCAAGCACATATCATATGTACTCCATGTTTATTATCCTTCTAATTTATTTACTATCAAATATATTTTTCTGGAAATTTCTTTTGTTTAAAAAAAGGAAAATATCTGTAAATACACTTTCCCTATAATTTCCAGAAATAGAATTAAGAGATATTTCCACAATAATATTGATTAATTTAGATTCCATAATTTATATTGACTCCAAAAGAAGAAATTTAATAGAATTAAAAAATCAAGTAAACAATAAATTGAAAGGCTCGTTAATTTCAAAATAATTTCTATCAAAAAGGCTAAGAGCCGCTGGTTGTTCGTTGCGAGATATTCAAACTAAATGTAAATAAATGATTTTTGCTTTTATTATTAAATCATATAAATTTTTTTTACAAAAAGAAACAGACCTTTAAATTGAATTTTTTAATAGTACAAGATAGCCCCAATTAATTATAACTACTTTGAATTATAATCATGTGGAATAATGGCCGGAATCTTGCACAATTTGACCACACTAATTTCAATTTGAGAATCAACTGACCAGTGCTCTTAGCATTATGAGTGTATTACAAAAGTGGACACATAGAAAACAGCAGAAGAAAAGTCGAAAAAGATTGATACCACCGACGTTATTAGAGTAAAAAAATCTATAACAGTGCACAATCGTTTACCTACATACTTTATTTCGACGCTCAATTTTTTAATTTGTAATTTATTAATTCGGTTTTAACTAATTTACGACAACATTGGGAATGACCCGATAGGAGTCGAAACGTCTGTTTCTTTTTGTAAAATTATATGATTTAATAATAAAAGCAAAAATCATTTATTTACATTTAGTTTGAATATTTCGCAACGAACAACCAGCGACGGTTCTTAGCCCTTTTGTATAGAAATTATTTTAAAAAATCAAGGAATGATATTCATTATGTATGTCATATATAAGATTTATTACAGTAACATATTTGCTTTATGTGGGCTACGTACGAATTAAACAATTTCATATAATTTATTATCGTTAGTGATGAAATTTTCTCTATTTGCTATATTCGACTTCATTCTTTGCGGTAATTACCCGAATAACAATGAATTTCCATTAATTATTAATGAGTCCATTATTAAATCTACAATTACTCTATAAAACTGTTTACAAAAGTATTTTTCAATTATATGTTTTAACCGATATACAGTTGACTGAAAAATACTGTTATAAAATAATTTTTCGTTTGTTTCCTTCATTATCATAAAACTTGTACAATAAATCATCAAAAATGCAAGATCTTTTAATAGATATAATTACAGTCATCCATTTCCATCTTTTTTATACAATTAACCACACAATCACACCTTTAATAACGAATCTCGCTATCGATATCCGAACAATCATTTATTGCTTAATAAAGTTGTTATAAAAAGTTATTATAAAAATAAACCTATTTTATTTCGCAGCGGTTCCGCTCCGATGAAGCTGTTGGCGGAATTGGCTTGCGCTCGAGCTCCAACCTCCACGTTGCCGGAGGATACCATGAACAGTAACAAGAATCATCAATCGGTGAAAATGGTCACGGCAGCGGTCGCTGCAGCAGCTGCAGCGGCGGCTGCGGTAGAAGACAAGGACACTCCGACTTTCCCTAAGAAACCAATGAAGGACTCAACGATAACGTTGAAGAATTCGCCAACAAAGAAGACGAGGAACCCTATCAAGGAGCTGTTTGAACGCAAGAAGGAGATAAATGATAGAAAGCAACAGGAACGCTCGAAGGCTGCTTTCGTTGAATTAAACATGCAGAAGCAACGCAAGTCGAAGAAGAGCAAAAAGCAGCAGCAGCAGGGATTCCCGCTGATCCGTAGCAGCGAACACTAAGAAGAAACGTCGCGATTCTCTTGATCGGAAAGGGGAAACGGAGAGAATAAAGGATGTGTACGAATTTGATGAGGAGGAGAGCCAATTGGCGCCCACTCTGGGTAGCGTGATGTCTTATAGGAGCCAAATCGACAAAAGTTACGACACTAATTGGTCAAGAATAAAGAATACCGATGAAAATTTGGATATCGTCTTGCAAAACGGTAAGACGAATTATGTCGCGAATACTAAATTGGACGCTATAATCAACCGTAAATTCCAAGAGTTGGAGAAGTTTGCGCCAAAGACAAAAGGCGCCCTGAAGTCGTTCCAAAGCGAGGAACAGCAACAGCAGCAGCAACAAATTATTGAAGCAGTTACCGGACCAATGGACGAATTTGTGGAAAGAAAACAACGCATGAAACGGCCTATAGAACAGGGCATCAAGCAATCCGGCAAGATCAAGAAACGAGGTAAAAGCTCAAAGAAGCGAGTAAGAAACGCATGGTATGAGAACGACAGCTCAGACGAGTTCAGGACGGCTGCGAAAACGGAAGATGTTGGCGTTGGTATTTCAAAAAGTCAACGCTCGTGCTCGAAAGGCAAACAGAATCTCTTTGCGGAGTTATCGACGTCGTCCGAGAGCGAGTACGAACGTGACAACATCGATTATATGTTCGCGAGCGAGCAACGTTCGTCGAAATTGAAGAAGAGTTCGAAGAAACCGCTTGACGTCGACATCGACGAGAGGAATGATCAACGCATAGTCAATGAACCTGAATTCGACAATGAAGATCAAGTAGCAAGCGATTGGAATCAAGCAATGCAGGAAGATGCTATGAAGAACGATCACGACATCGCGAAATCAGAATCGGAAATGTCAGATCATTCTTTGGTGATAGATGAAAGAAAGATGATCGATGAGACGAGGAACAGCGATGACGACGCGGATAATCAGTACGAGAGAACGTTTGAGTTGGATGATTTGTATAGGGAAGATAGCTCGGACGAAGAGACAGAAGTCGAGGAAAACGAAGAGCCGATGATCGAAGAAGTGAAGAACAACAGACCTGAAAAGCAAACATTGGATGAAAACGCAACTTTGCAGACGAAACTTACTTCTACGATCACGAAAGACGATTGTGCGTCGGAAATGATTTCTTTGGAAGAAGCCTTAGATTTTCTAGATCGGCATGAGAATCTCGATCCGAAAACTGAGAATGTACGTGCAAAGAACAACATTGTCAACGGCACTATGGATGAAGCTTCTAACGACAGAATTGTTAATGAGGAAAAGGAGAATAAATGTTCGAGCCCTACAGAGATGCGAGATGAGAAGGAGGAACCAGATGACGATGTTCCGGCTTTGCCCGAGAAACTGTCCAGCAACGAGAAACCACAGAAAGAATCCGATCACAATCTCCCTCTTCATGTATTTCTCAGCAGAAAGGTACAAGAATCAAAGAAGAGGAAGCAACAGCAGTTAGATAAATTACGAGAAGAGCAAGAGAGACTACTCATGGATTTTCAGCCGACCAGAAGACAGAGAAAGTGTGCGATAGGTAAACAAGGTTTGCTAGCGGAAATAAGCAGCTCGGATGAGGAATCATATGTGAGAGATAACAGTAGGAAAGGTAGCGATCATGACAAATCGCGGAAGAAGAGGGAATTGAAGGAGAAAAGAAAAGAGAGGTACCTCGAGAAGAAGCATGAGCAGATGATTGCTAAAGAGCAGAAAGCGATCGAGGAAGAAATTCTGCGAGAGATTGGTAAGAAAAAAGAGAACCTCGCACAAAACGATAATGCTGAATTGTATACCGATGTTGTGGAAACAGTCGTCTTCGGACAAATCCAGAGAAAGAAACATCAGACGAAGGAGAAGCATAAGAAAAGTGGTGACGAGAGTATTGAGGAGAATGCAATGTATATTGATCAGTCTTTCCTTGATAGCTCAGAAGACAATCATAACAAATCAGATCGTGCTTTCTCCACTACGGAAAGTAACACAGAGAATGACCACTCATCAACTTCACCAAAGCGAAAGAAACTCGCGAAATCGCCAGCGAAGTCGAAGAAAGTTTCCAAACCAGAGAATGGAAAGATCCCGACGAGTAAGAGAAGCAAAGAGCCAACCGCGGAGAAATCCAAGAAGTCCGCAAGCAACAAGGATTCTAAGGAGCGCAGATCGTCCAGCGGAAAACGCGACTCCGACGATGAGGAGCTAAAGACCACCAAGTCATGGAACAAGGTTGAGGAAGGCGTCGGCGTTGCAATCGGTCGACATAAACGCACTGCTGCTCTTCAATTATACTATTGGTCCAGTTCGAGCGACGAGGAGGAGGCGCCAGAACCGATCCCGGCGCCCGAAGAAGAGGAGGACGATCGGCAGGAGCAGCACGGATGGATAGTAGGCGATTCCCACAAGAAGATGATCACGATGCTGGCGATGGAGAAACAGCTGAAGGAAAAACGACGTAGGAGCGAGGATGATTTCGAGCCTGGTAAGGCGAAGAGCAAGAAACATCGGAATAGCACCTCTTGATACGTGTTTCATGATTAAAATTCGATCGAACCTGCGCGATAGACGCAATGACACTACGTTATTCTGACAACATAAACTGTGAAAGCAAGAAAGTAAAGGCCAAAAGGATCTCCATGTTTGTCTTTAATAAGAATTTATTACGTTCTATATCTTCCACGGTAATTACTTGTGGCGGATCTGTTTAGGTAGATAAAAATACAATGGACAAGTGCGATCTACGATCAGAAAAGTATTTGTTCGATCTTTTTTCTTCTTTTCTTTGTTAGCGAATGTTGAACGAGTGGACGTGATTCAAGCGTAAAGAAGGAAGAAAGAAGATATAAAATGTACATAGTTGCTTGGCGTGTAGAGATTAGAGATTAGACGAGTATCCTCCCTCGTTGCAATCTAAGAATTATACACATGTATAAATATAAATTGAGCTCTTATAAATACCGGATGATATATAGACTGAATATGAGAAGTAGCAAAAAGTGAAGAGAGCACTCTTAGACAATACTAGGACGTTTGTAACGTTTAGTTGTACGTAGGGGAGTCTCCCACATGTGAAACAGATGAAGTGAAGAAATGGGGGGAATCAGTCACAGTCGCTTATTTAGGAAAGGACAACGTAAAACCGGGTCCAATCGAGTTTAGCGCTTGTATCAGCTTCTTTCGTGATTCGTAAAACGTATTTCTTCGTATTCTTGCATATTCTTACATGTTCGTACGTATTCTTACATATCGCAGTGAAATAAAAAAGAAAAACTTCTCACGGGGATAACGTTCGAGAATGAAAATACCGCGTTTAAGGGAGCTTAAGTCTCTCGCTAAAGAAAAGAGGTGAACCTTTCTTGATCTTTTGCACGTTATTTTTACGAACTTTCTAGATCTCAAGCTTATGCATACGTGGTCGGCTACTATGAAGCCACGCGAATTCGCGGAAAAACGGATGCTTTATTAATGCGTAAAACACGAAAATTATTTTTTTCCTTTCGTACTCTCCTCGTGCACATAGGACATAAGTATGTAGATTTTCATATATTACGAAAAAATGTTTTATATATACATATATATATATATATGCATATATATGTGTGTATAAGCAAGTGACAGAAAAAAAATGGTTATAGACTTTAAATGTAAATGTACTGCCATAATCATATGTATGTATATATATCATACTATATATTTATAATATATATATATAATTCGTATATTATATATGTAATATGATATATATAATATATATATAATTATATAATATATA